TAGAATTTTTAGAAAATGAAAACAAGCAAAAATGAGAAAATAAAAATGACCTGTAATCTCACAACACAGAGGAAATAAGCATTTCGGTGTTTACCCTTTCGGTTCTCTTTTCTTTGTACAAACACGTAATTTTATGTTTATCAAACAATCGGTTCATACCGTAATGCTATTTTAAAAGCTGCTTTTTTTCAGCTGGCAATTCTATCATGGATATCTTTCCATGTCACTAAACAGTCCTCTGCCTGGTTGTACAGTATTGCCTTTACCATACTTTGGTCGCCTACTGCTGAACTCTTCTTTTGCTATTGGTGGTGGAACAGGGTGATGAATTGAGCATTTAATGTGGCAGCATAACCTGATTGAGAAATCAGCCATATCTGGTTTTCTTGGCTGTGGACTCGTCAGGAAAGAATGTGAAGTATTTTCCCAACATCCTCCCAGGAGGGCGGCCAGGGCTTCCAGTCCTAGAGGTCAAAGAGGACTGGGGCTGGCTTTCCAAATAGGGAGTGGGAGCAGCCTCACCTGTGGGGCAGTGGCTTCCAGTTCCTAAGAAGAGGGTGGGGGGCGTGGGCATCCACAAGTGGCAAAAGTTGAGATCCAACTGGAACACACACACCTCTCCCCCAACCCTCAGGGTGGCAAAACCTGGTATGGAGATAGACATAAAGAGAAGGTTGGAAGAAAGACCACTAGGTGGCCAGCTGTTGGGAGAGGCCACTGTGAGTGGGCACTCAGCAGCCTGCCTGGAGAAACAAGAACGAGCTGCCCAGCTCTACAAGTCGGGCCTTTTGTTTGACTGTCTGGGGGGTTTTGTTTTGTTTTGGGTGTTTTTTGTTTTGTTTTGTTTTGATTTGATTTTTTGTAAAACCCACGGAGCCAAGGGATGAAGCCCTAATAATGATTCTCACCAGCTGTGATGGGGCTTGGGACCAGATTAAACAAACCTGGAAAAATAAAGAATCCTGGCCTTTCTTTCCCAAGTGTTATGGCCACCATTCCTCGTTTATATGCAACACCATGAGGAACATTCATGTGACTGAATCTTTGGGTTCATCCTTGATCAATGGCTGCTCATTTCAAACGTCTTCTTGACTCCCTAAGGGGTGGTAGGCTTGCTGGGTCAGTCAGCTCCGTGGATTAAGATCCTTGGACTAAGGGACCTGAACTGGGCCAAGACAGATAAGGATAGGGAACTTGGCTCTAGTCCTTGCTCCATCATGAATGTGCTTTACAGCCCCAAACAAGTTTCTCCTCCTCTGTGCCTCCATTTTCTGGTCCATACAGTTCTAGGAACCAGTAGGTCTTTGCCCCTTGGGAGCCCTCAGCCTGTAGGAAGGCTGGACAAACTCACTGGTAAATTAAGTGACACGTGCCTGGACACCATAAGCAGCTCAATATTTTCCCATGTGCTCCAGTCAAACCAGACTGCCGGCCATGTTCCATAACATTCTCTAAGTTTCATACCTTCATAGCCTTGTTCTTGCTACTCCTTCCATCCAGAATGAGTACCCCTCGTTTCTGATTATTGAAATCCTACTCATTCTTTGAGATTCAGCAAAAACAACTCTCCTCCACAAAGCCACCCTCTTTCTTTCCATAGGAAGCCATCTTTCTTTCTTCTTCCACAGACATCTAATATCTTTGTCTACAGACACAGAGCACACCCTGTAAGCTCCCTGAAGGCAGAGGCTGGGCCCCATTCATCCCTACATCCCGTACAAGACCCAGCCCAGGATTCTGCCAGTTACAGTGCAGCCAAATGTTTGTGGAACTAAAACTGGGAGCTGGGCCTAGGCCTGGATGAAATTTCAGGCTATTTCAGGCCCTAGAATGGGTGGGGTATTGAGGGGAATGGTAGAGCTGGAGATAAAAGTCCTGAGCAGGAATGTGGCCTGGGCCTGACTGACTGGAAGGGCCTCTGTGCTCCCCTCCTATCCCCGCCCCACCCCCACACCTCCTCTCCCAGCCCCTACAGGAACAGGGACACACTGTGTACTTGGGACTCTTTCATCACACCCTTGGGCCCCTAGGACCGTCACTCCACCCACGCCCTCCGTGGTCCCTGTAAAGAGGGCAACGGCCCGAGCAGGTCTGCAGGAAATGGTTAGAGGGGCTGTGGAGCGAGGCCAACATCGAAGCTCCTGGACTGGCTTGGGCCCGACTCCTGCTCTTGGTCGAAAATGGTATGTTGACCCTTTGTCCGATTCTGTTTGGAGTGTGGAAGTGACATGAGCTCATGACAGAGGCTGAGAAGTCTTTCCTCACTGCTGCAGAATTGGACAAATGCTGAGGGTGGGGGTGAGGAAGCTTAACTCTTTTCCTGGGGAAGAGGCCAGGCTTGCATTGGGTAAGGTGGAAACTTCAACCCTCAAAAGGCTGCCCAGGCAGAACACCTGTGCACTGTAAAGCAGAAGAGAGGTTTTTAAGGTCCGGACAGACAGGTGTTTGGGGTAACCTTGGGAATCCAGGTCTGCTACAAGGAGACCTAGGAGGATGAAATGGTTAATGGTTTATTGAAAAACAGGGAGAGTCCCTCCTCCAGGGGCCCAGCTGGCTGCAAAGCCAGGAGCAGAGGCTCCAAGGGTGATGCAATGGGGCCCGCCCTGCACACCAGAGAGGGTGAGGAAGGCGGTTCCCACCCAGCAGCCTCCACACAACCAACAGCTGACCGCTCTCTCCTGCAGCTCCAACAAATCCGCTACAGAGCAGGGCCTTTGAGGTGAAGGGAGCGAGACCCTGGCCACCTGAAATTTGGGAAACTGCAGCTTCTGCCTAGCCACTCCATCCAGCCCCAGTGCCTGTCCAGTCAAGACAAACACCTCTACTAACCCCCAGCAGGGTATCTAATCAGCCTGGTCAACCTGTTGTCTCTTCCAATTCCAGGCTCATTTCCAGGCCTAGGAGCAGGTGGCAGGAGGGGGTGGAGGGGCAGTCCCTGTGAGAGGCACAGACAGGCAATGCTGCGCCTGACTTGGCCAACTGGCACCTCCACCTCACCAGCCCTCTCTCCATCACCTTGGAACAGGAAAGCTGCCCAGGAGACAGTATTCCAGAAGCTTCTAAAAGACTCAGGGCAACTCCAAGGGTTGATGGGTCGATCTGAACTTTAGGGATGGACTGTCCTTCTCCTCCCCACCCTGGGGTCTGGGAGTCTCAGGAGCAGAGAGAGTGTGACTTTTACTTCTAAGAAGGATTCTGCAGGGTGTGGCACATGGAGAGAGTAAGGAGGAGGGCTCCTTGCTTAGAAGATATTGGGGGGCCCAGATTTTGTGATAAAGGCCTGCTATTGGACTCTAAGCCCCATGAGGACAAGAACTGTGTCTGTCTTGTTGACTTCAGATTCCCTGGCGCATACCAGAGCCAGTGCTCAATAAATAAGTGCCTGGCAAAAGACGTGGGCAGAGGCTGGAGGCCAAGGCCAGTTTCACAATTTCTGGAGTCTGCTTTTTGGTAAACACCTCCCCATAAACACAAACGCACACATACAGGGTAGAAAAGTACACAAAGTAGCACAAAGAATCATCAGAGCAGATTCCTTGAACATTGTTTACAATTACTGGATGCCTTCTCAGCCTTAACTTTTATGAGCTGCAGCTTTGGAAACTGAAGAAAGATACATCAGGTTCTCTGGTCCAACCCAGAAAAATGCATTTGAGAAAGTTTTGAGGGGCTGCTAGACACACAGCAGCCAGTCCTGGAGCCAGGCTGTGCCAGGGAAGTGGCAGCTGCTCATGACCGGGGCAGGTCCAGTCCCCCTTTTCAAAGAAGGACAATCCCAGTGTAAACGAGTACTGAGGACCAGCAATGACAATCTTTTTCTGCAGCAAGTGAGTTTCCGCTTTTTCTTGTCATTCTGGGAAGCAGGGCACAGGGAGAGTTCCAGGTTCTAGAAAGTAACTCCTTTCCCCTCCAGATTTTCAGCCTGGATCCACATCTTTGTAACTGACATTTGCACAATACTTGCAACTTTTTCAAAGCTCTTTTATATTTATTGTTTTGTTGTACTGGATCATGGCAAGCCCCAGATGGAGAGCTATCACCCTGTTTTGTGTGAGGAAACAGAGGTCCAGAAAAACCCAGAATTCCAGCAGCCAAGTTGGTAGTACAGTCCAGACTTGAAGCCACATCTCCATCTGCCCAGATGCCCAGCTTCCCTCCACACCATGCAGCCTCCCCATGAGTCAGCCATCATGAGTTCCAGGCACTGGACCTCACATCCCCTTACAGCAAATACGTGCCTTCCCCTAGGCCCTGCTTATAGCCCAGACAATTGACCCCACTGCTTAACATTTTTTGCTCCTTCTCTCTGGCAGGACCTGGTGCTGAGATCCAACCTTGTCCATTTTGCTTGAAAGCCATTTCCACTCTGACTCCTACCCTGACACACACTCTGTTTATATTGCACCGAGTTGGAAAGAACTCAAATAACAATAGGAAAACGCTTAAGTAAACTCCTCTGGCAACAGGATGGAACCCTCGGGAAGCGCTGACAACGACAAGTATGTGAAGGTCTCTGTATGTAGTAATGTGTTTTGGGAATATTGTAATTTGACCAAAGCAGAACCCAAGATGACATGTACATATCAATCACAGGTATGCAAAAGTAAGTTTCTGCAAGCTGATAAGAATCAGAAGTGAACTTACAGAGATGTAAAGAGATATTTATCTTCACAGGTTTTTCTTTCCTCTAAAGATTATGTTCAAAGTAATAACAAACAGTAAAATAAATAGTGAATAGGATCATAATAAGCAGAGGAGGAGACAGAGAAGGAGGAGTCCTCGGCCCTTGGCTCTGGGGAGACTCTTTCCAACAAGGCTGGGATTGCAGAGGGGGAGAGGAGGAGGCTGGAAGTGGGGAATCAGGAGCCGTGGGAAGTAGGAGCCAGATCTGACTGGGAGCCAGCTCCTGGAGCCACCAAGATGCAGCTGGGAGTCTTGCCTTGGGAGTCTCTTAGGGCCAGCAGGGCAGATTAGCAAGCTGAGTCGTGTTCCAGGGACGCCCTTCACACCAAATACTATGGTCACTGGTGCCTCCCAGAGCTGTGCAACAGGGTGGTTCTGGGTCAGAAAGAAAACGTCTAAAGTGGGGCCTGGAATATGGAGATGAAGTGGCCACAGGCAGAGCACAGCCTTGTTCTGCTAGGGCGTCGGATGGGCAGGGAACAGGAGAGTGTGAAAGTAACAACCCAGGCTCCCCGGGGACTCTGGGATGATGGTGCACTCCACGGAAAGATCACGCTCAACATGTCTCAAGCTTACTCCTTATCTCAGCAGCCCCTCTGCTAGACCTGCTTCTTCTCCTCCTCGTGGTCACCATCCTGGTGGACGCCACCACCACTCACCCACGGCCCGCCAGGCTCGGCAGGACCTGTCTCCGGCTGCAGCTCTCACTCCACCCCGATTTGCACCCTCTTCTCCACCCGCACTGAAATCTTTACAGTTCCTGTAATGTGCCAGGCTGTTTCATTGCCCTGCCTTTCTCCAGGCTGTTCCTTCAGCCTGGACTCCCTTCCCTGCCTTGTCCAGCTGGTATCTGTCAGGAGTCAGCTGGAGGAGCATCTTCTCTATGAAGCCTTTGCTGCTCAGTCCTCATCCCACCGCCATCGCACCCAGGTAGGGATCAGTACTTCACTTGTCTCTGTGGCCCCAACATCTAGGGCTGCTCCTTGCACAGCTTCAGCACTGTGTATTTCATGAATTTAAAAAAAATGAATGAATGTGGAGGGGAATCTTGGGGGTGGACAGAAGAGTGAAGTTGATTAACCAGCCCAAGCCCACATATTTCCAGTGACAATATCTTCCCATTCATCTCTATCCTCAGGCTACTCCTTTCTAGAGCAGGGTCCCTCTGGTCTCTAGGCCCCTTGGAGACTTCCCCCCCCACCACACACAACACGTACACCTGTCCTTGGGTCTCTTGTTCTTCTCAAACATTAGTTCCCAGTCACGTCTCTCACTGTGTTGCTCAGGGCAGTGAGCCCTGACTCACTCACCTGACTCAGCACAGAGGCTTAGCTCAGATAGGTGGGTGGGCGGGCGGGCTGTTAGCCAGACCCAGAGCCAGGTTGGGTGGGAAGGTCATTTTTTGCATCCATGAGAGGTCATGCCTGTAGCTGGGCCATGGCGCCATCTAGGAGTAGGGGCGGGGCAGCCGGCAATGGTTCTCACACATGTTATGTTGACATACTCTCTGACTGGGTGAGCTCTTTGATCCCCAGACTACGCATGACAGATGGCAGCCACCCAGGTCCTCTGCAGCGGGCTGGTTTCCAGGAATGCCCTTGGCTCTAGCCTGGTATGAACCAGCTAGGGAATGGTTCCACCAGGGCAGGGAATGCTGGCCCTCTGGCCTTCCATGAAAACAACCCGACTCCCTTAGGTCAGCCTCCCCAGCCTCCCGTTGGGCCAGGCACTTAGGTAAGTGGAGTCATACCTGCTGATCATCTTGGCTCAGACTGCAAAGGTACTGCTTACTCAAGGCCTGGCCCTGTCTTCACCATCCTCAGCAGTGGCAGCAGCCAATTCTGTGAGCCTAGTGTGAGGGGAAACCTGTTACTTGGTTCAGGAGGAATAAAAGGGAGGCTGAACCTCAGTCCCCAGCAGTCTCACAGTCTGAATGCTAACATGCATGGCAGAGCTGGGGTCTGAGAAACAAAGCTCTCAGCCAATGGGAATTTTGAAAATGAAATCTAAAAGACAGAAATACCTGTGCTTCCCCCCTCCCCCAAATACAATAAGTCACATGCTTTCCTATTCAAGGGATGTGGAGTTTTCACCTCTGTTCCAACTGGCTCTGCCTCTGTTCTCTAAGCAGGCAGCTCTTATCCCTGGACTCTGACAATAGTTTGGGCAAACCCACAGGATGAAATCCACTTCAGCCGTATGTCCAAAGAGTCCTCAGTGGGCAGGTGCAGCTCCTGGCCCCACTGGGAGGTAAGAAAACAAGTGCCAGTTTGGCACCCTTACGGATAAATCTGGTGTTCTATTCCCCAATCTCTTCTCCTTTCCGCTGCAGGAATACCTCTGAGAGGGAAATCGAGGAGCTTAAAGAGTGGGCAGACAAGAGAATCCTAATAGTTAAAGATTAAGAGCCATAGAAGTGTGCATCTTTCCAGGCACTTCCACAGCCTACTTGAAACAGATAGCCTCATGGGACTGGGTTGCTGGAACATGGGCTTCTCTAAGACTTCTGGGGCCCCAGAAGCAAGTATTTCACACTCTTCCTAATCGTGAATACAAACTAGTGAGGAAAATGTCACTTCAAGCCACAGCTTCTTTCTTGAAAGAGGTGACCCTGTCAAACACCTGGTGGGTTTCTGGATATAAAAAGATGGGACAGGAGGAATTTAGGAAAAGGGACCTGGGAAGACTTGAATATACAGCAGAGTAGAGAGAAATCTGGCTTCCCAGAGTCAGTCGAGGAGGAGTGGGGGAAGGGAGTAAGAGGGAAAGCGAGATGAGAGGCAGGGGGCTTCGGAGCTCTGTTGGTGGTGGGGGTGGCTAATAAGAAGTCCCTGGTGACGAGACAGCCAAAATAACTTTTCAGAACATTTCAGAAATGTGACTTCAAATTGTTTGTGGTGTGATGTAATCTCTCCCTTGTGGTCCACAAACCTCCATTAAAAGTTCTGCTACATGTTACAGCATTATTTTTGTGGTTGTTTTGGAATAGGGGTGGGGGTTGAATGGAGACGGGACTGTGTTCCGTATTTTAACTGACAGCAGGAACTAACAAACAGCCACAAGACCAGAATAGTGACTAAAACTTCAGATGAGGCAGAAAACTAGAGCCAGAGGTAACTACGAAAATCTAAGTCCCCCCAGTAATTCACAGAAATCCTGGGCAGGGGATTGGACTTTCCACAGGACGTGGGAGTTTGAGCCAATGTCATTTCAGTGTCAAAGGACAAGCTACCTCAGCTGACATTACCTCGCCTGCTGGACTAAGCCTTACAAAGCATAAAATATATTACTCACATCTGTACTATCTAGGGCCTTAGCACCGCGACAGCACATAGTAGGGCCCAGTAAAAGCATGAATAGTCCATGAATGCCCCCGTGGTGCGCTGGGAGCTGGCAGAGTGTAATGCCTGGCTGGGGGGCGGGGGTGGGGAGGGGAGCAATGATTTCTCTGCCCACCCCTCCACCCTCTGTCCTGTTAGCCCTATCCCATCAGCACTGTGGCATTAAAGTCTCATAAACTGTCAAGGCCCAGCGGAGACAGTGGCGGAGAAGGTCACAAGGGTTGTATAGAAACCACACTGCTCTGGGTCTGTTCTGCTCACCCTGACGGTGTCTAAAGGAAAACGCTGCCCCTGGGCAAGGGGCTTCTGGTTCCAAGGGCCTGGGCGAGGGCAGTGAGTAGGCTATCTTGAGCCCCGGAATTTTCCTAGGCCTGGCTGTACGCTGTGTCATGGGGACTCCGGTTTTTGCTCCCAAATATCCTTACGCCCTTGTGAGGCCTTGCCTTGAACTCCTCAGTCCAAAGACCGCCCCCGCCCGGTTCCGCGGCATCCTTGCAGGAACCATGCGCCGCTCACAGGGCTGATGGCGACACCTGGCGGCGCAGTCTGGCTCATCCCCGGAGGTTCACTCGCGAGCTAGGAAGAAGGGGTGGCTTCGGCGGCCCCGTCGGGTGTGGTGACGTCATGACAGAGCGCCGTTTCTCCTCCCCTCTCCCCCGCCCGCCCGGGGCTGCCAGTACTCGACGTGGCGTCGCCGCCCTCTACCCTTACTTTGCGTGCGTGTTTGCGTGCGGCGGAGGTGGCGGCGCGGGCCGGTCGGAGTTCGGCGTTGCTGCCTGTGGTGCTCCTGTCGCTGCCGTCTCTGTCCGGCTGTCTTGGGCCACCGAGCGGACGAGACGCCGGCCACAGCACCTCAGCCCCGGACGCAGCTCCGCGCGGGGCCCGGCGGGAGGGTGGGCGAGCGCGTGTCGGAGGGC